TTATTTAAAATTCAACAGAGAATTAAAAAATTCAGAATAATGTCAACTACAATACAATACTGCTGCTAGTACTATTATAAATTTATTATTCTCAACCAGAATTTTAATAAACTTTAAAGAGTCCTTGAGTTACTATTTTTATAACTTTATTATAGAATAGATTAGATTTAAATGAAATACAATGGAAATAAACTTTTGCTTCAGGAGAATTCTGAATGTCTATATCATACATGATCAATTTATACACGAAAGAAGTTTAAACAATTATTTAAGCACTAAATCCAGATATAAAAATAACATATCACTATAAAATAAATCCTTAAAACAGGTGAATACAAAAATAATATATGACCATCTCATATAGACACATTATAACTAATAAAAAGCAATCTACTTCCAGGTACAAAATATAATTCACTGCCAATTTTATTTCCATTTTCATAAAAGTGTAAATACACACATATGTGTGTATAATTACATTTTTCAGCAATTTTATTTCCATTCAAATGACTCTGTGTGTTAACAAATTTCTCTAGATGTCAGAGACAGTATTAACAGGTAAAAGGTCTGTTTGTCTGGCTCATCTTAAAGCTAGACTGCCAAAACACTGCCATCTAGTGTTCGTACCAAATAAGCACTTTCAATACAAATGTGTTTCTGTTTTTCACTTAAAAAATTAAGCGTATGTAGGTTAAATATAAACTAACATTCCCATGGTTAAGAGTATAATTTTGATAGAAGAATAAAAGGAGAAAGAAGAAAAATAGAAAAGGTCACTGGGAGTCAATGGGAAGAAGAAAATACAAGGCATGTGGGAGAAATACTCTTTGGATGAGAGTCCTGCCACATTTTGTTCTTGAACACAATACGTATGTTATTAGATTTTCTTGGATACTTTACTGACCAAGCAAAAGTAAAGATCAACTCCTTAGAACTAGTTGCATCTATCCCTATGTACTCCCGGACCCTTTGTATACCCAATGAGAATAACTAAGATCGTGTTCCTAAATGACTTGCTATTAAATTAACCTAAATTCATGTATAACAATACTTTAAATATACAAATTTATCGTTTTGATTACAAAATGTTAATTAGAAGAGATAAAGAATAAAAAAATCAGCAACTACAATTGTCAAGTTTGAAAAAAATTTAACTTCATTAACAGACAAAGATGCATTTTGGGCCAAGTTGTTTTCTTAATTATGTAATATTACTCACACTGCTATAACCACGAAGACTGCTGACATTGTTCATCACAGTCAAAGGCTCAGAGCAGCTAGTAAATCTCTAAACCAGAAGCCTCCCATTGTTTTCAATTGCTATGTTTTTTCCCCAGAGGATAAAACTGCTGAAGAGTTTATTTCTAAAAACAGAAAATGCTCTATGAATGTAAAGTACAATATGTAAAGTACCAATAGTAAGGTGTGACATGTGGTGGCAGTAGTGTTACCATGACTGCTACTGCTAAAATCACAACTACAATGACTACTACTACTACAATATAACGCCATTCAATTCCAACCAAACCAGGGTGACAGTTCACAAGGTCACATACTTTTCTTCGGATACCTTTCTTCGGATCATATTAACCTTTCTTTCTGAATCTCTAACCTAAACTCTATCCTTTGGAAATAAGGTATCAGTTGATTATAAGCTACTATTTCTCTATTTACCCATTTACAGATTTCTGTGTAATAAACATGTATCACTAATGTAAATTAGAAATATTTAAAAAACAAAAACTTCTACTCATTCTCCACAGCCAAGCCTCATTTTTCATCTTCTATGAATTCTTTCATCCTGCCCAATCTAGAAGTGATCTCTTTCTGCTCTAAACTCCTCAGGAGCACTATCTAGCATTCATTTACAGCCTTAAGAAAGTATTTTTATGTATACATTTTAATGCCCTAGAATAAATTATAAGCTCATTGAAAGAAAAAACATGTACTATCCTTCATTGTGCCCCTCACACAGGTAATTTGTGGGCACCTGAGAAGTACAATCACATGTGATGCAAACATGTTTCTGTTCTGTTCAAAAGCACTGTCTGTCTCACTTCCCTAGGCTTTACACCTCAAAGATTTACTCATTGCATCATATTGCAAAAGTTGTTTAATCTCTCCGACCTAACGTAAGGCTCCATTGCTTATAATAAAGACCTGATAATTCAAAATACCTGCTAATCTAGAGTTACTGCACCAGTAAACACAAAACAAAAAATTCCTATGTTGTATGTAAAAAGGTATTAATAACATGTAAAGTTTGATTAAAAACCAATTTCAGACCAAGCTTTTTAAAAATATATATGGGAAAAATCCCCATAACTTTTTAAAAGTTATCAGCTTCAGTGATCTACCTACCTGTCTAGCTAGCTATCTACCTATCTAGCTAGCTACTTATGTAGCTGAGTAACTGAGTGAACTGAGTTTCTTCAAGAACACAATAAATGCAGATACAATTTTCTATACATGCAGACATTTATAAAAACTATCTAAATTTGGCCGGGCGCGGTGGCTCAAGCCTGTAATCCCAGCACTTTGGGAGGCCGAGACCGGCGGATCACGAAGTCAGGAGATCGAGACCATCCTGGCTAACCCGGTGAAACCCCGTCTCTACTAAAAATATACAAAAAACTAGCCGGGCGAGGTAGCGGGCGCCTGTAGTCCCAGCTACTCGGGAGGCTGAGGCAGGAGAATGGTGTAAACCCGGGAGGCGGAGCTTGCAGTGAGCTGAGATCCGGCCACTGCACTCCAGCCTGGGAGACAGAGCGAGACTCTGTCTCACCAAAAAAAAAAAAAAAAAAAAAAAAACCTATCTAAATTCAATGTTGAGAAAATTGAGACTATATTTGTTATTCAAACTCTTCTCTAAAAGAAAAATTAAAAGTTACCAGCACACATTAGATTACAAAGTCTGACAGCTATTCTGGGGCCAGATTTATTCAGTGAATTAATTAAAATGTAAATATTATTTACATATTTCTCAACCTAAAAATGCATAGAGAAAACAAAATACTCACTGCAATATCTGACATGACTTTGCTTTTAAATAAATACTAGTTATATCATTTCGCTTTTTCTTCTATCCACTTGTACCATGTGCTAAGCATTGTTTTTCTGGATCATTTAAGAAATCTATTATAATTTTAATAAATTGTTTTTTCTTAAAATGTCAACTAAAAAACAAACCGTAACTACTTGTTTTTTTTAAAAGTCATATTTTCTATTTTTATGCTTTTGCTGCCACCTAGTGAAATTCTGAGAACTTAATTATTCTGGAAAATTGCATTTTTTAATAAAAGCACATCTATCTGCAAAGTACATAGATGAGGAATAAGGACATTGTAGATTACTCTCTTACAAAAATTTTTTTATTTTATTTTCATTAAATTACAATTCATCAACTTAGTCATCAAGCCACTTGTTTAATTAGCAAGATAATTATGATCATTTAATTTTAAAAATTCCTTTATTGAAAAAGAGCCAAATTAAATTATTTGCCATGAGGTTATACTTGTAAACATATGCAAATTTAGTGACAGTGATACCCCCAAAGATTCTATAGACGTAATTTTCAATTACTTACCAAAAACATGGTTCATTATATAGTTAAAACAATAACATATATGGAACAAAACTGTGAACACCTGGAATTCTATCAACTCTACTTTCTGAAGAATCCCACAAAGATGACAGATAATAACCTATGATTAAGCTTACCTGGGAAAAAATATTTGCTGTTGGAGCAACTCTGCTGTCCACGATACTGTATAATATTGCTAATAATCTGTCTAGTGGAAATGGTTTTGGTCCAAGGAGATGATTGCTCGTCTATAAAAAACAAAACAAAAACATGGATTTTCTTCTTATACCAGAGCACTCACTTTCTATACTACAAAACTGGCAGTAACAATGTATTTATGTTTTTTATAGTTCCCCTAAAAATGCTAACAAATCTAACCTGCAATCTGTAAGTTAAAAGTTTACCTGATACGATCATGATTTATCCTTTTTTTAAGTTTGTTTTGTTTAGAGACAAGGTCCGCTGTCACCCAGGCTGGAAAGCAGTGGCAGCACAATCATGGCTCACTACAGCCTTGAATTCCTGGGCTCAAGCCATCCTCCCACCTTAGTCTCTCTTCTTGAGTAGCTAGGACTCTAGGCACACACCGCAATGTTTGGGTATTTTTACAAATTATTTTGTAAAGACAGGGTCTCACTATGTTGCCCAGACTGGTCTTAAACTCCTGGCCTCGAGCAATCCTCCCCACGTTGGCCTCCCAAAGTGCTAGAATTACAGGCCTGAGCCACCATACTCAGCCATGATTTATCTTCTAACATATTCCTCAAGATTTCTGACTTAGTATCAACAAATATTAACTAAAGAACTCACAGTCATCCGGTCTAGTCCTAAATATGCCTTTGCTGTTATAACCAGGTGTTGAGTGATTTCACCAAATCCAAGATAATAACCAAACCAGATTCCTAAATTGTAGACTAGAGCTTACTACTTATTTCTCACAATCCCTCTTTGTACCACTGCCAGGAAAATTTATTTGTTCAACATTAGTAGCTCTAATGTTGAATTAGAGTAAGTCGTAGCTTAACTTAGAAAACTAATAAAATACTTTATAAAGCAAATGAGCTATCAGCCTAAAACAATGTAGAATTAAAAAAAATTTTTCAAGATTGTAAAATGTTCATACTTGTATATGAACTCATATAGTATAATTCATGTCATCAGAAATGAGACAATGCTCAAGTTCCATTCTATTAGCAGATAATTTTAATAGTCAATAAATATTTATTTCCTTTTTTGAGACAGAGCCTCACTCTGTCACCCAGGCTGGAGTACGGTGACATGATCTTGTCTCACTGAAAACTCCACCTCCCAGGTTCAAGTGATTCTCATACCTCAGCCACCCAAGTAGCTGGGATTACAGGCATGCACTACCACACATGGCTAACTTTTGTATATTTAGTTTTGCCATGTAGGACAGGCTAGTCTCGAACTCCTGATCTGAAGTAATCCGCACACCTTGACCTCCCAAAGTGCTAGAATTACAGGCATGCGCCTGTGCACCCAGCCACAGGTAAGTACTTTATATTAGCAATGGCAAATAAAATTGGAAACTATATTTACATGCATGCGAGTAACTATTTATTTAAAATAAGAATGAACGTAAAGAAGAATACCTACTCAGAATTATACAATGAAGTTTTTAACCTCAGTTAGAAATTATTTTCCAGGTCTTAAATTTTGTATGCTTTTGTTATTAAATATTTCAAATATATAAAAGTGTACAGAAGTGAATATAATGAATACCAATGGACTCACCACTCAATTTTATCAAATATACTGTGCAATACATGCAGAGAAATAAAACATTAGATCACATTACAGATGAGCTGAAGCTTCCTTGAACCCTCTCCCATCCTATTCTCCCTTTCCTTCTCTAGAAAAATTCCACTATCTAGAATTTGATGTATTCTCATGAAGGTTTTATACTACTGCATATGTATCCACAAACAATATACAGCATTGTTTGCATGGTTTAAAATTTTATATAAATGATATCATTTTGAACATACCTCTCTACCAATTGCTTTCTGAGATTTATCCATATAGATACATGTAGCTCTAGTTCATTTTTAAATTACCTTACAGAATTCCATTTTACAACTACTTAAAAAGATTCATTATTATTACAAATAATCCTGTGACTGATAATCCTGTACATTTCTCCTTGTGCAAATGTGTGTTTCTCTAAGTAGGACTGCTGGATTAAAGTACAAGGCAGAGTCAGTGTTTGCCAACACTGTTTCTTCTCTGACACACAAGAAGACTCCATTTCTCAGTCTCTTGTGCAGTTAGATAGAGGTCACGTAACTGGGTTCTGCTGGGCCAATGAAATATGAATAGAAGTGATGTAAGCTACTTCCAAGCCTGGTCTTGCACCTTCCTTCCCTTTAGTGGCAACTTCAGAAGCCAAAATGTTTCACTTCATATCACTGTAAGATGAAAGAGGGCCACTCAATTCATATTCAGTTATGCTGTAAGCAACATAAAAACTTCTGTTGTATAAAGCCACCATGGGTTTGGGGCTTTTGTTTGTTTGTTTGAGACAGAGTCTCGCTCTGTTGCCCAGGCTGGAGTGCAGTGGCGTGATCTCAGCTCACTGCAAGCTACGCCTTGCAGGTTCATGCCATTCTCCCGCCTCAGCCTCCCGAACAGCTGGGACTACAGGCGCCCGCCATCATGCCCGGCTAATTTTTGTTTTTGTATTTTTAGTAGAGATGGGGTTTCACCATGTTAGCCAGGATGGTCTCGATCTCCTGACCTCGTGATCCACCCGCCTTGGCCTCCCAAAGTGCTGGGATTACAGGCATGAGCCACTGCGCCTGGGCGAGGTTTGCTTTTTACCACAAGCATAACCAGTCTATCCTAATATTAACATATTAACTTCAGCAGATATTGTCAACCTGCAGAATACGCAGACTCTCACTCTTCTACATTATCACCAGCACTTGAAATCACAGACTTTTTTAGTTTTGTCAAACCAAGAGAATGAAATATCTCACTGTTGTTTTAACTTTTTCTCTCATTAGTGAATAAGGCTGACAATCATGTCATGATTATTAGACATTCAGGTTCCTTATTGTATCATTTATCCATTTTGCTATTGAATTTTTGTCTTTTTCTTATTGGTTTGTAATGAGTCTTTAAAAATTCGAGACATTAGGTCAGACATGGTAGCTCATGCCTGTAATCCCAGGAGTTTGGAAGGCTGAGAGGAGTGGATCATTTGAGACCAGCCTCGAACTCCTGGGCTTAGATGAGTCTTGGGTGAAACCCTGTCTCTACAAAAATTAGCCAGGCATGGTGGTGTGTGCCTGTAGTCCCAGCTACTAGGGAGGCTGAGATAGGAGGATCACTTAAGCCCAGGAGGTTGAGGCTGCAGTGAGCCATGATCACGCCACTGCACTGCAGCATGGGTGACAGAGTGAGATCCTGCCTCAAAAACGGATAAATAATAAAAATTCTAAAGGTTAACCATTTGTCTGTTGTAGGAGTTCAAGAACAGTGGTAAACATCATCATAGGCTCTGGAGTCAGGAAGTCCTGGAATTGAGCAAAACTGCCTCTAAGAATAAGGGAAACAAAATTTGCAGTTTCTATAGTGCAGAGTTTATAGTTCAAAATTCTCCATTTTCTGACAAGAGAAGCAACAGTGGTTTGGACATACAAAGTGGAAGAAATGATCTGAATGGTCTAAATGCTGCTTTCACCAGTTTCAACCTTGCCTGACCCCCCCTTCAAAAGTACTTAGTGCTTCTAATCCCTAAACTTTTTCCAGATTCCTAAGGCCAAATCAGCTAAGTTTGAGGCTTAGGTTTTAGCGTTTTCTCCAATCTGCTTGGTCACCTCAATATCTACCTACCATGCAATTCCAATTTCCGGGGATCTCTCATCTGCTTAGTATTTATGAGTTTACCTTTTTTATTTCTTCAATGTCATTGTCATGGGTGCTTCAAAGGGGAAAGAAAAGAGGAAAATGCCTGTATTCAATTGGCTGTATTTAACTAAATAATCCAGGGTAAACTGCTTCATCTACTAAAACACTAAAAAAATTTTGTCAACTCAGTTTTAATCTCCAGCACCAGCTCACTTAAATGTGCCTTCAAACACTGTATTCAACATAACATAACAATACATATACTGTTTTGTACAGTATATGTACAAAAACGGTACATATACTGTACCGTTACAGTATTAACGGTACCATATCAACACAAATAAATTCCTATATTCAAATGACAAATACAATTACAGATGTATCTATTCCCTATATTATCTTCATTTAAGTTTCTTCCATTAGAGAAATTAAAATGTAAATACCTTTTCGTGTTTTTTTAGAAAGCTGGTTTTCTTGATTTTTCCATGATGCTGCAATTAAGGAAAATAAATTTTAAGTTGAAAAGATAGTATTCCACAAAACCAGAAAACATTATTTATTTAAAACATGGCACACATAATACTAATCTATATATCTTAGGTTTCTAAATAGTTATTCTTCTTATCACCTTGTATATATATTAGACTTCAACATATTTTAGGCCAATTTCATTTAGACTTGGATTGGATGTAAGATTACTTTTGCATGTAAAAAAAAGAATTTCTAAAATAAAATAACGACATTTCCTAAAAGAACTTATTATATTGATTTAGTACAGCATATACATTGCTATAAAAGTGAAATTTCCAAAGAGATATGGATTTTTATTCATCCCATAAACAAGTCTGGCAATTCACATAAAAAATGCTGACAGAGAGCATTTTAGTAAGGCACAATTCACATAATAAACACTGACGGAGAGCATTTTAGTAAGGCACTCAAGATTCAATAGTGGGAGAAAACAATAGATGTGGTCCTTGCCCTCTAGAAACTAAAGAGGGCCAGGTACAGTGGCGCACACCTGTAATCCTAGCACTTTGGGAGGCCGGGGTGGGAGGATGACTTGAGGCCAGGAATTTGGGACCTGCCTGGCCAACATAGCAAAACCCTGTCTCTACCAAAAACATAAAACTTAGCCAGGTGTGGTGGCGCACACCTGTAATCTTAGCTACTTGGGAGGCTGAGGCACAAGAATCACTGGAGCTGGGAGGCGGAGGCTGTAGTGAGCCGAGATCACATCACTGCACTCAGGCCTAGGTGACAGAGTGAGACTCGTTCTCAAAAAAATAAAAAATAAAAGTTCTGGAGAGTACCACAAGACATGATAAATAAATAAATAAATAAATAAATAAATAAAAATTGTTGTAAGTCCAAAGAAGAAAGCAAACATAGGAAACAATAAAGAGGACCTATTTTAAGATAGGTTGTACAGGGAGAACTGCTTTGAGAAGGCAACATTTAAACTGAAGCCTGAAGAATAAGGAGTAGAGAAGAAGCTTTCTAGAAAGACAGAACACACAGACAAAGACCTTAAGGTAGGAAAGAGATTAGAATGTTTTGAGGAAAGAAAAAGGCTAAAGTGACAAGAACATAGTGGGTGAAGAAGAAGAAAAAAACAACAACTCTAAACTGGGATTTCTCTAACTAATGAATGTACAGGAGAGGCTCCTTCAGTGTGCTGGATAATAATTCACTATAGTGAGAGTTTTAAAACATCCTCCACACTTTAAACAAAACTCTATGTATTTTTAAAATCTGAATTATTACCTAAAGTATATCTGATTTCCTCTTTTCTATGAAATCTGCCTACCTTTTCTCAAATTTCAGATTGTGACATTAATGTAAACCCTTTAAAGAATGAGTCCTAAACATGTATTTGGCAATCTTATTCTAATCTCTTCCCCTTAGAAATTTACAAGTGTTAAGAAATTTCAAAATATTCCTGGGATCTTAAAAAATAAAGTGAAAAAAAGTATGTTATTATTACCTTAAGAAAAAACCTCTTGTCAGTTCTTGCTGGATTGTATGAAGCAAGGTATGCAGCAATTAGAATGAACTTAGAGTAATATGGAAGTTCCACATGAGTATGCGCTGAGAGGCCTATATAACAAAACACTTTGATGAAGTACTTATCAGGCTACCATTGGGTTTTAAGTATCTCTTCTCACTTAACTTCTGATTTCCACATGGTATTCTCTAGTCAAAATGACCTATTTCCTTATCTTAAAAAGTGTCATGATAATGATGGTCGTGGTGGTGATTAAAATTATCATTAATGACAGGCTTTACTCAATCTATTATTTTTGCTTGATTCTTCTCATTCTGCAGTCTAAATCCTACTCATTCTTCCCTTCAAGGCCACGCTCTCCCTTAAACCCCTGATGTCCCCCTACCACATCAATAGAAAAACGTATTTCTAACTATGAATTCCTACTTTGAGTATTCCCACATAACGTGATGCCTTATATTAACAGTTAACTGTACAGGTTGAGTATACTTTATCCGAAATGCCTGGGACCAGAAGTGTTTTGGATTTTTTCAGATGTTAGAATACTTGTATATACCAGTTGAACATCCCTAAATTCTAAAAAATCAAAGAAAACGAGCATTTCCTCTGAGCTCATGTCAGCACTCAGAAAATTTTGGAGCATTTTCTATTTGGAAGTTTTGGATTCAGAATGCTTAACCTGTACATAAACCATACCCCTTAGTAAACAAAACTATTTGTTGAAGGAGCTATTTGTCTAATTTTTTTTGTATTCCTATATGACAAACTATTTGTATTCCTATATGACAAACTATTTGTCTAATGTTTTTTTGTATTCCTATACTGCCTTGCACATAGGAAATAACTGATGAATGGATAAATAAAACAGTAGGGTCAGTCAAGTAGCACTGATTCTTAAGGGAAGGGAAGAAATCTGATATTTCCTGAAAATCTGCTATGTGTCAGACACTGTGTTAGGTGCTTTACTTAAGCATCACTTTGAATCTTCGCAGTAACAATGCTAAATATTCTTTCCATTTTACAAATCAAAAATTGAGCTGGGTTCAAGGTCAAACAGACAGAAAGTAGTGCAAATCAATTACTACAGATTTGTTCTAACTCTGGCATCTATCCCTTTTCCTAAAAACATACAACTAGAAGTCACTTGTAAAGCATCTGGAGCATATAACAACCAAAAAAACACAAAGCAACATCTTAACATCACTATTTCACACCATTTTCTTTAACCATCAGCCACTGACATTTTTTAAAAAATAACATTTTCAATATTTGCTTATTTTTTAAAGTAAAATTAGTTCTATTTAATATGTGGGATGAATCCAAAGTAGCAGTTTTCTTAAAGAAAACAAAAGCACAAAGCTTTCAAAACATAACCACCAAAGTGCATACCCTAAACCGATTAACATAAAATTACATTTTATTCCACAAAACTCATGAAATATAAACATGAGATAAAACTGTCATATAATTAGATTGCTTTAATAAAAGCATTTAAAACAATAGAAACTGCTTGATTTTCATGATATAATCCAATATTTAGAAAATAGAAAGCTGGTATTCAAACTTTATTTCCTCCCATTAAATTAGAGCTTCAGTTAAAGAAAATTCATTAATCAAAATAGCATTATAGCTTGAAAAGTAAATTCTCTTTTATAACATTGTTTCCTGACTAAATGCTCTTTAGTATTAACTTAGTATCTTGATAATTGGCTAAAGAAGTATCTCTGGTAACTGTCTCAATACTTCCTTTGATACCTTTCAGTTGCCCGGGATCTGTGTCATCTTTCTGTAGCTTTTCCCATTGGGAACTGAAAAAAAAATAGAAGAGCAAAAATGAATTAAAAATATATAAAATCAATATGCTGTACTTAAAACAGAGTCCTAGAAAAACTAAATTTTTTAATTTATTAACAAAATAGAAAATAAAAATATTTACATGCAATAAACATGTTTGTACCTGTACAAAATAATTTAATGTATATATTAGAATGGCATAAATTTATAAAGCAATATCTAGATATTAACTATTTAATAATCTCTTTTACTATGATCACTGTTGTAGCTATCAAAAAATTTCACCCAAGCTGGGTGTGGTGGCTCATGCCTGTAATCCTAGCACTTTGGAAGTCCAAGGCAGGAGCATCACATGAGGCCAGGAGTTCAAGTCCAGCCTAGGCAACATGCTGAAACCCTATCTCTACTAAAAATACAAAAATTAGCTGGGTATGGTGGTGCATGCCTGTATTCCCAGCTACTTGGGTGGCTGAGGCACGAGAATCACTTGAACCTGGGAGGTGGACGTTGCAGTGAGCTGAGATTGTGCCACTGCACTCCAGGCTGGGTGAGGGTGAGCCTCTGACTTAAAAAAAAAAACAAAAAACAAAAAACCAATAAATACTACCACCTACCAGTCAGTAAAACTCCCAATGTTCTAGTTACCATATTAGATACAATTGTCATATACTATTTCTAAACTCTATAGGAATCCCTCAAAGTAGGTATCACACCAGAAAACTGAGGCTCAAAGGTTAAGTCACCCAAGGACATTTAGCCAGTCAATACTGGAGCTATGAGTCGAATCCTTGTAGGATGCTTGCAGAGTTCAAGGTATTTTAATTGCTCCATCCTGGCCTTACTTACAATTAAAACTGCTAAACAACCAAAACACTATTAAGAATATGAAGTGATTACGACATGATAAATTTTTATAAGGCAACACACTATAGTATAATGAGTAAAGAATGCCCTAGGACAGTTTTAGCTGCATGACTTCGAAAAAATGAATTGTTTACTCATAAAAAAAATAAGGCAGTTTGATGCAAAGGTGCTCACCAACTCTAAAACTCTCACAGAACTCTCAAAAATGAGCTAATTTACAGGACTAATTTAAAAATAATGCCAGATTTGAACAATTAAATATCCAAAATCTGCATGAAGAACAGGTTGGAAGAGATAAGGATGAGTGTGGGCCTTCTTTGAGTATACTTTAAAAACAGTAGTTTTAGCTTTTGAAGTATTCTTCGATATTCATCTCTTACGGGTATAGCAATCAACAAGTTTATTTTATTTTCCCCTTTCTCTTTTCCTTCTTTTCCCATTTTTTTAAAGTTATAATAATCCTACCTTGTCAGAATACATAATATTTACATACTATTCTTCTACTCTTATTTCCACCTTAGTTTTAGTTTGGAGCTAAACTTAATTAAATTCAATGTTCATTATCAATCCTTTTGTTCGTTTCTCCAGTCATCTCTTTCACATCAAGGTTGTCCTAAGAAATGCCTTATGAGTGTTCTCTGAGTTCTTCCATATTTAATAGTGTTTTTCTCTAGCCTTGATAGTTGAATGACAGGTTGACTGAACATGAAATTATTTGGCTTACACTTCCTTTCTCCTTGAGTTTCTTGAAATTGTTGATGTATTTGTTGTCTTGCTTTTTCACTGACTGACTTTCCTTTGTAAAGGACTTATATTTTTTTGCCTGAAAGCTCAGAGATTTTTTTCTGTTATTTTTAAAGTCTAAATGCTTTCCAAGAAGTCTCTGTGGTAGGCTGAATAATGGCCCTGCCTCCAAAGATACCAAAGTCCAAATCCCTAGAACGTGTGAATACGTTCTTATGGGGTAAAAGGGACTTAGCAGATGTCACTGAGTTAAGGATCTTCAGGTAGACATTACACTGCATTATCCAGATATGCCCAATATAGTCACAAGGATCCTTCTAAGAGAAAGACAAGTCAGACATAAGAGAAAATGCTACGCTGCTAGCTTAGAAGATGGGAGAATGGAACTACAAGCCAGGGAATGAAGGCAGCCTCTAGAAGTTAGAAAAGGCAAAGAAACAGATTCTCCTTGAGAGCCTCCAGAAGGAAAGCCCTGCGGACCCATTTTAGACTTCTGACATACAAAACTGTAAGACAGTAACAATGTGTTGTCTTAAATCACTAAATTTCTGATAATTTATTACAGTACAATATACTAGGACAGTTTCAGAATTGATCATTCTGGATTAATTGGGAAAATAAACTGTTTTGATGTGTAAAGCTAGGTTTTCTATTTCTGGAACGTTTTCTTGGATTATAATTTTAGATCTTAATTCCAATCCATCGTTGTTTTCTGTCTTCAGGAACTCCAATTAAATATATGTTAAATCTTATTTGTCTATCATATTTGTCACACCCTACCTGATTATTTTGACCTCTTTTTTTAGTTTTGTTCTCTTGGTTATTTTCAGTCTTCTCCTCAATGTCCCTTATTATATTCTCAGTTGAATGTAGTTTCCTTTGGATATCTTATTTTTTCATTTTCATTTCTGAGATAACTACTATTGCCTGAACTTTGCTCCTGAGTTTGATCAACTTTTATTTCACATCCCCCTGTTCTTTGTCCATTTATTCTAAGTTACTGAATTTCAAAATTAAAGTATGCTTTCCATACCTGAAAATGCTTTTTAAACAAACCTAAATCAAGTCAAAGTGTCGTATTGCAGTCTTCCTCTGCATTGTTTTGGGTGTTAAGGGGGAAATTTTCATCAACTAAACTGTTTTATTCACGTTTTCTGTTTCTTCCTAAATAATACCTTTACATGGCTTTTCCATGTTGTCTTTTCTTCATTTTGAAATGCCTAATGTTTGGCTTGGTCAGTAATAACAGGTGATTTTATGAATGCAGGGGTAAGGTTGCGGGTGGCAAGATTACTTAATTCCAAAGTGCTCCCTTCTGGAAAAATAATGAAGTCCAGTTTCTTTAATATATGGTGCTATTACGAAAAGGAGGGATTAGCTTCTGATTTTGTAATTTCTTTTTTATTTGGGGGACAAGAGGAATCTTTAATTTCTATCCTTTCTTTCCATTCTTTTCCTTCATTACCAACTCTCAAAGGAGTATCACACTCTTCTGAATCAACTACTTGTCTCCCCTCAAAACAGTACTTTCCCAAGACTACCATGCTAATTCTGGTCCCACATACTCTTAAAACAAAAAAAAAATACAAAAAATTAGGTGTGGTAGCGCATGCCTATAGTCCCAGCTACTCAGGAGGCTCAGGTGGTAGGATCACCTGGACCCAGAGAGGTTGAGGCTGTAATGAGCTGTGATCTTGCCACCGCACTCCAGTCTGGGCGAGAGAGTGGAACCCTGTCTCAAAAAAACGAAAAACAAAATGTCACTTTGATTCTCCAGTAGCCAGTGCTCTCTAATCCTTCCAGCCTCAGAACTGTTCAATACTTTCTCACTCAGGGTTGAACTCTCTTTCTTCAAGCGATTTCATTTTTATTTCACCCCTACTAGTCAACCCATCCCCTGTACCAACAATCTTCTCTTTTCCTTTCAGTCTTTGTTTGACTTTTCACTTCAACATGAGCTTCAGAGCCGGCCCTGCTGGTTTCAGCTGATCACTTCACTACTGATATATACAGCAATCTCTAACTCCTGTTAATACAGCAGGCAAGAGTTACAGGTGGTTCTATTGGCTCTCTTTATTGATATTGCAGACAGAAATAAAGTGGCCATAATTATCCTATGGGACCAGAAGTCCTTTCATTATTATGTAAGAATCATTTTAACAAGCAAACAAGTTTTCCTACATTTAGAAGATCACAAGCTTTTCCATTCTATGATTTCCAAAAACTCTCGTTAAATGAATTTTTGTTATTGAAAAGGGAAAAGGAATAATAGTATCTTTGTAGTATTTCTGCTAATTAAGAAAGAAACTATTAAATTTTTACCTGAATTATAGGCTAATCAGCTAATTAAACTGAAATCAAATAAAATTATTAAGGAAAAGTATTTAGTGATAGAATACGGCATTCATGAGAGAAAAACTGTAAAAAAAAATTGACTAGAAAGAAAAGCAGATAGTGTTGATGTTTTTAGGTTTCCTATATTAATTTGTAATCTAGGCTTAATCTAATATCTAATAAGACACTTTAATATTCACAATAATTTTCAGATATATTATCTAAATCTTGTAAGGACTTTTACAGGAGGAAGCCAAGGCCGAGAGGTCTTAGGACTTGTTAAGATCATATATAGCAGACAATGGCTGAGCTGGAAGTCAAAATCACGTTCTTCTCACACACTATGTGCCACCATGTCTCTCCTGAGCTGTTTCTCTACTAAGAAATTTTAATAACAGAAATATGTCGATTTATAATGGCTCATCTATTTACTTTATAATCAAATTTTCATTATATCATTCAAATATCTAGCATAAATATGGCAAAGCTAGTACTGACTTTCCTATAGCTTTCCAGGTTTTTTTTTAAAAAAAGCTTTGTTACAAATTGTGTAACATAATGGAGTCACGTGTGCTAAAACCCCCAACAAATAGAGCCGGGGAAGGCCACGAAGAAAGGGTTCTCATGGATAATGCTTGATAAAACAACTATCGCAAAAAACTGAAAAAAACCATAATCTTGCACAAAGGCCATCATAACCTTATACAAAAATCCTGTGAGGATGTTTGCCCAGCAACTGCCTGTCAAACTCCGAACTGGTACCACCTTTGTTATTGATCCTTGTAGCCAAGAATAATTATCTCAAAATAATTATGTAATTCTCCTCATTCTTCCTTTAAAAACCTTTGTCTCCCTTTACCTCCCTGAATATGCAGAGTTTACTACAACATGTGCATTCCCACTGCAATGCCCATTCTCAAACAGATAAATCATTTTCTTTTAGAGTCCCTCTCTGTTATTTAGGTTGACATATCTCGAGTCAAAAGTGGGACTTGCAGCAAGATCACCTTCAGAAGGACTCAGCAATTCTAAGAACTGGTAAATAGTACTCACTTGAGCCCTCTGAGCCTTC